AAATATAGATGCTCGCTCATAAATTATTTCAACGGTGGCCCTAGAACACAAAAGGTTTTTGGGTTTTGTTGGGATGATTCTCAAAATTCAATAAATCACTTACAGAACCTAATCATTATTTATAAAAAACCTGCAACAGGGACCTTCTCGGGTCCCGTCGGCCAAAAGATCAATCACATCAGCAAAGTATAAGGCAGGTATTGGAACCAGCTTACTCAATGAGGCGCACAGAGGTGTTAGAAGAAAATGAAGGATGAGACCACTACCGCCTCTACGCATTTATGAATAATCATGATATACATACGTTATAGAATTGAACACTGGTATCTTTTTGAATATTCCATTTCTTTTCAGATAGCAAACCAGCAACAGAATTTAAAATAAAAAATGTATTCCCAAATGCCATCTTCAAAGTAAAAACAGGCAGTAGGCTTGTACCTGCTCGCTTCACTTGCAAACTGCTTTGAGTATTTCGCCCGTGTGATTCTGACATTACCTACATGAAACATTCAATCATATGCATAACAGAAATCAAAATATTTATGGAGCGATGGACTCTTTAAGGGTCCAAACAACACTTTTCTTTCCCAAGTAAACTCACAGGAGAATAACTCACCTCCTTAGTTTTTACAGAGAAAAGTGTGGAGTTTTCAACAATTTGTGGCGACTTGCTATGTTTTATTTGGATTCATATAAAAATATTAAAATTAAATAGTAAAATCAATTTCATACCATTTATTTTTAATTAAAGTAAATTTCCTAATTCTTCCTTGGACAAAGTAGGCCACTGTCATGCAGTCATGCACATGGTGATTTACAAAGGTCAAACGGCAGCTCTGGGAATAGATTACAGGGAGAAATACCAGAAAGTATTTTAATCAAGGTTTACATACTAGGCAACTCTGAGCACTTGAAGCGACTCTAGAAATCAATCACCGCAGCTCCTGCTGTGATGGTGGGGGTCCTAGAAATTAGAGGAGACATCCAACCAGGGCCAGGACACCACATAACTGTCTGGGGCATTAGACACCAGACAACCAGAACCTGAGAGAAAATGCAGTACCATGGGGCATGCATGGAACTGTAGGATGTTCCTGGGCTACAGGACACTTAGGGAGCCATGGGCAGGTATGGAACCATGGGGCTTGCATGGAGCCGTGCACCATACGTGGAGCCAAGGCACAGAAGTAGTTCCTTGGGGCTCCTTCAGCATCTTCACCCTTGTCTTCTAAAAGGCTAGTTCCCTGTGCCTTCGAGAATAACTGAGGCCGCCCAAGTTACGCCTTTCCCAGCCCAAAGAGGAGCAGGTGGCAGGCCAAGTAGAGCCAGTGCTCTGGGGACTGTGAGGAGGAACAGTGAGAGGTGGTTGGCAGTTAACAGAGCAAAAGGAAACGTGTATACGACCACCTTGCCAACTGGTAGAGGACAGCTTCCAGAGGTGGGAGAGGGGCTGGGGGTCCCAGGCAGTTAACACAAAGAGGAGTCAGCAGAGAGTTACAGAACACGTCATGTGCGTTTATTGTAAACATTTAACAAATTAATGCCTTTACCACAGACATGAGTACAGTGAAATGTAATTGTATGATTCCATAGAAAAATATTGGATTCATGAAAAATAATCATTCATCCTGTGGTATCAGATGAGAACCCAAGCTTAAGATCCTATGTTGGACCCTTTCAGTCATGATCTTTCAATCCCCTTTGACATGTGGGGATAAAGTCAACTGTTTCAATTCAAGGAACAAGTGCCATGCCCCAGTCCTGCCCCAGTGATGGCCCAAGCTAGGATACCCACTTTGATTCCTTCAGATGGCCTTCCTAAGATCTGGGACCAATTGCTAATCCTTTATCAACTGTCCATATAGTTCTTCTGAAATAAGTTTCAAAACAATTCTCAGGCCAATTAATGGTCCCTACATAGGAAGACACTCAACAGGAACACCAAGGAGTCAGAAATAAAGATCTCAGCGGCCTGGGATTGGAATTAATGGTACCCTGCCTGATTCTGCAGGCAGGAGCGACGTTAGGCATTAATACTAAGTGCTGCCAGCTAAGACACTGTAAGGCATTAAATTAGTCACAATACTAAGGCCCCAAGGCAAAGAAAGCCTGAGTGCGACATGTCTCACCCCACCAGTGGTCTTCCTCTGTGCTTAAAGTAAAATTCTTCCCCACTAACCAACTCCTATAACTGGAGCATGCTCTCGAAATAGCTGGGTAAACTTTAATCAATAAACAAACAAAAGCAGAATATGGCACGATCGCCTAAGTGAGCATTAAACATTTAAAACTCATTTCAGAGATGGTTAGGAGACTCAGTAACCATGCTGAGAAACAGGCTGTCTCAAAGGGTCACTATTTTTTTCCCCTCTTAACTGGAACAGACATTTACGCAAAAGACAAGGACATAAGTGTGAACGGTGTGTCTGTAATGGGTCAGGGTGGTTTAGCAGCCCCTGCACAATCAGGGATAAATATTCCCGAACATGCAGCCAGGGAGCAACCTTGCAAGCACAGCAAGCTGTTAGCGCGTGTTGAGCAATGAACTCCGCCAGACGAGAGAAGCCCACAGAGGCTGGGAAAAATAGTCCTGCCAGCATCTTCCGCCGGGCAGGTGAAGCGAATCCAGACTTCAAGAAAGGGAGGGGAGAATGAAGAGGATAATGGGGGTCAAATCCATGGCGAGGAAAGGAGACTAGACTCGGGGAGGGGTGAGCTCACAATGCAACGTGCAGATGTTGTATTATAGAACTGTACCCCAGAAATTTACATAATACTGCTATTAACCAATGTTACCCCAATAAATTTAATTAACTCTAAAATATTTAAATAAATAAAATGTTAAAAAAAGACTTCAATAAGACGTGCTTGCTGCATTAAGATGTTACTATAACATCCGTTCACTTCAAACAGCCTCTGTGTAGAGCGCCTCCCGTGTTACCACACTAAATCCTGAAATCATAAATGTACACAGAAGTCAAGATTTTATAAGTGAACACTATCCGGCCCTCCTTTTATTTCTCCCTCGTCAGTGTTTCATCCTGTTTTCTCAAACTGTCTGGTGGAGTCGTGCGTTACAGGAAAGTGACCACGGAGGGTATCAGTGGCCACCTGCTCAGCTGTAACATGAGCCAGCGCAAGGAGGTCTGGGCTGCTGGCACCCACAGGGGCCTTTGTGTTTCGGTCGACTTCCTTCCTAAACCCCCCATCCTCCAGGCCCGGGCCCTGCCTACTCCTCCTCGGCGGACAGGGAGCTTCTCAGGAGCTCCCTCGCCTTCCAGCCACACCCACCCGCTAACTTTCCTGCATCCGGGGTGCCCTGGCCACTGGCCCTCCAGCCCCACTGGAGGTGGGGTGGGCTTCCTGTAAGCTAATCCCCGCCTCGGTCCCGTGTCCTACCCCCTCCTACAGCCTGGGACTTTGCCTAATCAATTATCTCCCCCTCGCCTCTTGCATCACCGGGCTCCCTCCCATCACCATTTAAGGACGGTGAAGTAATGTTCTCTTAAAAGCCACCCCCTGTCCTCGAGTCTCTGCTGGCTGAGGCAACAGTTCTCTCCTTTCATAGCTATTTTTTCACCCCACGTTTATCCCTCCGCTCATCACCATCTAGTTTCTCCTCCGGCACTGCCCCAAACCTGCTCTGATAAATGCTATTTGTTATGGGTTGAACTGTGTCCTTCCATAAGACATGTTGAAATCCTAACCTTGGATACCTGTGAATGTGACCTTGTTTAGAAATAGAGCCTCTGGGGAAGTAATTTGTTAAGATGAAGTCATGCCAGGTCAGGGAGGTTCCCTAAATGCAGTATGACTGGTGTCACTATACGAAGAGGAGAGAACCAAAAGACAGACACATGGAGAGAAGACCATGTGGCTCCAGACTCAGAGATTGCAGGGAGGAGTCTACATGCCAAGGAAGGCCAATGACTGCTAACAGCCACCAGAAGCTGCAGAGAGGGGAGAAAAGGATTCTTCAGAGAGAACATGGCCTGACTCTGGACTTCTAGCCTTCAGAACTGTAAAAGAAGATATCTCTGCTGTTTCAAGCCACCCAGTCTGTGGAATTTTGGTACAGCAGTGCCAGGAAACTAATACAGCATTGCTTGCGGAATTTCTAGGAGGGTGACCCTGTGTTCCAGTTCTCTTTGGACATAGGACTTTCAGTGCTAAACTGGGAAAGTCCCAGGCAAACCAAGGTGAGTATGTCACTCCACCTTCTGGCCTACATCTTCCTCAAACTCTCTGCATCACTGAATACTCCCGATGGCCACCTCCCTCTTGAGAAGTCCTCTGTTCTTGGTTCCCATGATGGCTGGTTCTCAAGCAGATAATTCCACCTGATGGCAGGTACACAGTCAGCTTCTCCATCTAAAATCATCAAATCCTTCTAATTGGCTCCCCTTTCTTTCTTCCATATGGAAGGAATGGCCAAGTTGGGGATCATACTCGGCACCTCCTTCTCCCTCCTATATCCATTGAATCATCAACAAAAATCCCTTCAAACATAAAGCCACTGGATGGGTTATTAAAATACGATGACTGGACAGTCATGGTTAGCTTGATGAGATACCTGTGATTTCCTGGAGGACAGGGGTAAAGACATTGACTTTTCTTCCTCAACGCTGAGTGCCCAGGGCGATTTGTTGGGAAATGCTGACCTGAGAATTTTTTTGTTTTCCTTGATTTGGGTGTTATTTCTATGGGTCACGGTTTCATTCCCTGGTTCAAACGCCCAGGGTGCTTGAAGCACCTGTTAAATAAAGGTGGTCTCGACACTGGGACTTCCCTGTCTGTGATGACTCTGGTCTTGGATTCTTCTTGAGATAGTGATCCGTGTCTGGATAAGAAATTCTTGCAATGAAGGATTTTATATTTTTGCTCCTATTTTAAACAATGTCTAAAACAAGAGTCACAGGGTAATAGAACAATAAGCACTGCCATCCTCTGTGCCTGAGTGTGGAAAGTGCCTGGGCACTCTGAGCATGCCTGTCCCTTACCTTTATAAGAAATGACCGGGTGCTCTGCTCTCTGGCACTGAGGCGTGTCTGCTGAGGGCTGGGCGAGTCTCCACCACCCCAGGCTCGAGAACAGCCACGCGATAACACAGGTGCCCTTCATGGTGGCAGGAGGCTTGGACTCTGCGCACTTGTCTTCTAACCAGAAGCTTGTCCTCCCGTCATGTGGGAAACGTGCCTAAAACACACAAAGGAGAACAACTGGATGAAAACGAGCTCCGGTTTTCTGGAGGTGGTCTTTTGGTAATGCCCTGTCACCACCTTCAAAAGAAAAAGGCTTCGCGGGCTTAGACAAGCAGACGTTCTTCTAGCTTATATGTCAGATACGCATGAGTGTATGTGTCTCATAAGGACCTCTTTTTCTCACAATAATTTTATGAGATAACCCATTTCTTATAAAAGGAGAAACGTTCAAGTTTAAGTTTGACCGAGACACCACAGTCACTCTTAAGGGCTATGATCACCCATTGGTTTTCCCTTGGAACATAGTCCTCAGTGCCTCGTGCAAACCCAGATCTATACGTGGGAACCCTAAGAGCCCTGCCCTTCCTTTTTAATATTCAAAAGACACTACTTAACAAGGCCTTGACCGTTGTCATTTACTAATAAGCCAATTAGTAATATGCTACCTGACTCTTAAAAATTGCCCATATTTGGTGAATCTATCCTTTGAAATTTATAGATAGCCTGCCAGCACAAGTTTGTGGCTAGAGACCAACTATAAATCCAATGAAATCTATATTGAGCACCTACTGGGTGAGACAAAATCACTATGCTGGGAGTGCTGATACTTGAAAGATTATGAATAATTTAAAAGATGAATAAGCTTTAAGATAAGATAGGCTTGTAAAAATAACTATAATCCAAGTTGTTAGAAAACCATAAAAAGCAGCAGGAGTGCAGTGGGAGTTGACAGTCCTGCTGCTATTTAGGGGGACCAAGGGCGTGTCTGCGGAGGGGCTCACGCCTGAGTTAAACCCTGGAAGATAAAGAGGACTTCCACAGATGGAGGCCTCTGGAAGCACAGTCCATGCCACGGGAAGAGGGCGAACAGATGCCTGAGAGGCAAGAGGAAGGAGCAAGCAACGTGTCTGGGGAATGGTTTACTGTACTTGACCCAAACGCCAGGAGATATAAAAGGAGATATAGTGGGTGGCAGGCTACAGAGTAGGCTGGGTTCAGATTTGGAGGCCTGAGGTCTCTATTTTTAGGTGACAAGCTACCATAGTATATTAATATTACATTAGGTGAAATATTAATAAAATTATTCTTACAACAGTGTACATAGGAAACTGGGTAGAAAGGAGCACAGAGGTGGAGAAGTTAATTATAAGCCTCTGCAATTGTTCAGAAGAGAAATAAATGAAGCTGAGACTTCGAATGGTGTCAATGTGAATGAAAATTCAGGCAAACATTCTAAGTGATACGTTAGAGAAAGTACGGCAAATTAAAGAGGGCCAGTGATTCTCTGAAATTCCTCCTACTGAGGTGAAACTCTGGCCACTCTCTTGAACCTGGGTTGGCTCCGTGAGAGTGTGGCTCAATCGAAGACAACAGAAGCGATGGTGTGCTCCTTTCCAAGCCCTGCCCCTAAGAGACTGGCGTCTCCACTTCTTATCTCTTAGCACATGTTCTCTGGGCACCGAGACCCCAGGTAAGAAGTCTAGCTACCCTGAGACTGCCATGCTAGAGAGGCCACACAGAGGAGCTCTAGGGACATTTCCCACGGAGCCCAGCATCCCAGCCATCCCACCAGAGCACCTGACATGTGAGTAAATGTGGAAGCCACTGAGCGACTTCAGTAAGGATGAGAGCAAAGGCATCAGCCAGGTGAGCCTTGTTCAAATGCCTAACCCCAAAATGTGAAACAAAATAAAATTATTGTTGTTCAAGTCTGCAAGATTTGGGAGAACAGAAAGCAAAGAGGAACAAGACAGAGAATATAAGAGACTATGAAAATGGAAATGACATTTTCCTTACTATGATAATCAACAGAAGAATTTTGTTTAGAGGAGAATATGACCACTTAGTTTTGTACACATTGGGTCTAAGGGGCTGAGAGAATACTTAAGGAAAAGCAGCAGGCTGTTGAAGTCAGAGACTGAATACAATGTTTGGAAGGGTTAAAACCATGGGTGTGGTTAAATTCACCAGGGGAAAGCAGGAGGCGAAAAAAGGGGAAGCTAAGGAAAATTGTATGTTTGTTTAGAAGCTGCAAGTTGAACAGTCACCACACAAAGGTGAGAAGGAAATCAGAGACAGCTCACCAAGTGAAAATGGAGATCAAGTTCGGCTGAAATATAAAAATAACACTTTTGAAAAAAAGAGATCTGGTCAACTGCATCCCAATGAGTCAGACCAGTGGCTTCAGTGAACAGACAATGATCAGTTTGCGGGGGACAGTTTCAGCAAAACAGACTGAATCCCATACAGCAAGGAACCAAACAGGAACGGAGGGAGCAAAAGCGGGCTAGAACATGCACGGCTAACTCGAATGCCAGGTAACCAAAGAAAATTCAATGAAATCACAGAAGCACTAAACAAAGCTGGGAAAATTTTAGTTTAAAGAAAACATCATTAAATGTGGCTTCTGTTCTGAGAAGTGACGAGTGGGGAAGAGACTGTAGATTTAGAGGGAGAGGAGGTATCAGATAGAAGATCCAGGAAAAGCAAAGGTGGGAAACTATTAGGGTCCTAGGAAAGATGGTGGTTATGAAAGAAGGGAAGAGGCTCATTTTCTAAAGGAGTTTGCCTATGAATATATGGTGAGATTTCACGAAGAAGAGACATACATTTTAGGGTGCATCAGATTTCTCAGTCTCTATATTTCTCAGTCCCATTGACTCAATGCTCCCATTGATGAACATGCTCAAGTTGAGCAGGAGACAGTGGAGGGACCGCAAATCATGAGTAGGCCAGAGCATGGCTTCTGTGGGAGTGAGGGACCCTGAGCATGAAGGTGGAGGTAGTGATGCAGAGGAAAACTGGGAGCCGGGGGCTTCTGTCCAACGGGTCCGTAATCCCTGCCCAGGCACAGTGCGTCGTAATGGACAATGAAGGCACAGTTGTCATTTTTTCCCTTGGTTACAAAATTAAAAGCGTGATTAATTTCACTCTTGGAAGGGGTGTCATGGTCTGCAAAACAGGGCAATGCTCTGGGGCTCCAGTCTAGAGGTAAACACATGAAGCAGCCCATCTTTTCTTACCCTTCTGACCTGAGACTTAACAAGGGGAAATTTCATCAAATGGCATATCTTAACTCAGAGTAACACTCTTTAGAAGGGCTTCAGGTGTGATTTAGTTCTGTTCAGGGCAAGAGCATTTGGAACACCCTCACCAGCCCCCTGGACGTAGACTATCATTTTCCTGTGTCAAAACCAATCATCAATGATAGAAATAATGCAAGAAGGATAGTGAAAGTACCAGGAAACACTCAGAAAGTGCCAGCTCTGTGGCAGGCACCACACCACACATTTATACCATGCCTGGCACCTAATGGACACCCAGAGCCGTTCCTCTGCCGCATGGTCTCCCACTGGGCAGCATTCCATCAGGAGCTGGGTGGGGGCACTGCCCCGGCTTGACCTCCCGGACTGAGCTTAAGTCAACTAGGGACTGGGAGAAAATTCTTCTCTTGCACGTGGTTTTCCAATGTGTCAGGCCCAGGCCAACAGAGACCCCCCCCCCC